CTTCTGACCCCTAAAGTCCTTAGATCCTTTAGAGCCTCTAAAATCTTGAATCTTTAGAGTATTTAGTCTTTAGACTCCTTAGAGTCTTTCCAATCTGTGGAAATTTTGAACACTTTGGGAATTACTAGGAGTTTTATAAAGTCTAAAATTTCTGCAATTTATAAAATTATTAGTACCCCCAGGTTCTTTCAAATTTCTCCGTGAAAGCTTTTATACTTTTTGAATCTTTCCCACTACTGGAAACTTTGAAATATTTAGAATCTGGAATGACTAGAATTTCTTTCAGATTTTGATTAATTCTAGTTACTTCAGTGTCTCCAGAATTTTAAATATTTTAGATCTTTAGGATTTTTATCATCTTTCCAATTTTTAAATATTTGGAACCTGTGGAATCTTCGGAATTTTTGAAATCCCTGAAATCCCTTTAGAATTTTTAAATTGCCAATTTTTCTACATTTTTTAATTTTTTTTAATTCCTGAAATCCTTGTAGCCTTTAGAGCTTTTGGCTTCCTTGGAAGCCTTAAAACCTTTGAAAGGGTTAGCATATTTTGGACTTTCACAACGTTTGGAATCTTTCCACGAATCTGCTGGTAAGAATTTTAGAATTTCTGTAATTTCTAGAGTTAACATTGTGCATATTTTACATTAAATTCATTCGGCAAAATAAAGGCTATATTTATGGAATCAACACGTCGGGCTCTATATCCCTGAATTTAATCAGAATTTTTAGATGACTTTTTCAAAAATGAAATTTTCCATTATGTATTCGTATTAAGTACCTCCCTTATGCAAATTTCGACCCATTCTCGACACGTAGATTTTAGGCCGCAGAAGTCACTTCTGGCTTCATTTCTCCGATAACTTAAACCGTTTTTCCAGAATCGTCCATTGAAATATCGCAATTTTTTAAAATTTCAAAAAATTCGAACTTCATACCGAATTTTCCGAAAATATTGCTCCGTTACCGTAAACATGCCATATTTTTGGAATCAGCACGTCGGGATATATATATTTCCGAATTTTTTCAGAATTTTTAAACAACTTTTTCAAAAATGAAATTTTACACTATGGTAGTACTTGCCAAATAACCTACCCTCTAAGAAAATAAAAGGCGGATGGGCCAGGCTAGTATTTGCCAAAATAAGACTCATTTTGACAAATGACCTACTTTTCTAAGAAAAGCAACTAGTCCCGCCCACCCACCTTTTATTTTCTTAGAAGAGTAGGTCAAAATCAATCTTATCTTGGCAAGTATGACACTGATTTTTGCAAATGCCAGATCCTCTAAGAAAATACGGGTGGGTGGGCGGGGCTAATACTTGTCAAGGTGAGACTGATTTTGGCAAATGACATATGATTTTTCAATTTGTCTTTTTTTTAATTTTTAGCAAGTATTGCCTCACCGACGCAGCCTTTTTTTTCTTAGAAGAATAAGTCATCTGCCAAAATCACTCTCATCTTGACAACTACTAGCCCCGCCCACCCACCCTAATTTTCTTAGAAGAGTGGGTCATCTGCCAAAATCAGTCTTATCTTGACAAGCACTAGCCCCGCCTACCCACCCTTATTTTCTTTAAAGAGTGCGCCATCTGCCAAAATCAGTCTTATCTTGGCAAGTACTAGCCCCGCCCACCCACCCTTATTTTCTTTAAAGAGTGCGCCATCTGCCAAAATCAGTCTTATCTTGGCAAGTACTAGCCCCGCCCACCCACCCTTATTTTCTTAGAAGAGTGGGTCATCTGCCAAAATCAGTCTTATCTTGGCAAGTACTAGCCCCGCTCACCCACCCTTATTTTGTTAGAAGAGTGGGTCATCTGCCAAAATCAGTCTTATCTTGGCAAGTATTAGACCCCCGCCCACCCTCCCTTATTTTCTTAGAGGATATGCCATTTGCCAAAATCTGAAATATCGAAAAATTAAAAAAAAACATCTTATAAAATCGAATTCGAAATCCCAGTTTTAATTTTTTTTTAGTTTTTAGATTTTTCAACTTTTAAATATTTCATTTGATAATTTGTTTGACAATTTTGCAGTTTTTAATTCCGATCTTTTAATTTTCCAAATTTTAACTGTACAATTTCGGAAGTTTTTGATTTTTAATTTTTCTAGTTCTCAAGTTAAAATTTTGTCGTTTCACGGTTCGTCATTTTTGGATTTTTAACTAAAAGAACAAATTTATTCGAACCGAAACTTTGAACAAACGGAAAAACCAAAAATTGAAAATCAGAAACAAAATTTTCAGATGCTTTAAAATTACGGTAAACATGGGAGATTGCTGATCAAAATTGCTTTTTAGTCCCTTTCAAAAATCGGCTGACAAAAAATTAAAAATCGAAAATTTAAAAAAATAAACATCTCTTTTCTCGATATTTTTAAAAATCAAATAATTGAGAAATAGGAAAACTGCCAAAATTGTAAAATTAAAAAATCGAAAGTTTTTTTCATTTGCCCAAAGAAATCAAAATTCGAAAGATATGTAGATGAAAAAATTTAAAATTTTAAAAGCGAGAAATTGAAAAATTCGAAAGTTGAAAAATCGAAAAACTGATCTAGTAGTACTCGCTACGGTAAGACTGATTTTGGCAAATGATCTACTCTCTCAGAAAACAAAGGGCGGGTGGGTGGGGCTAGTATTTGTCAAAATAAGACTCATTTTGGCCCATGACCTACTCTTCGAAGAAAATAAAGAATAGGTCATCTGTCAAAATCAGTCTTATCTTGGCAAGTATGAGACTGATTTTGGCAGATGACATATCCTCTAAAAAAATAAGGGTGGGTGGGCGGGGCTAGTACTTTTTAAAATAAGACTAATTTTGGCAGATGACCCACTCTTCTAAGAAAATGAAGGGTGGGTGGGCGGGTCTAGTACCTTTTCTTAGAAGAGTAGGTCATTTGCCAAAATGAGTTTTATTTGCGAATAAATTTTGCTTAACGATTTACCATGATTACGATAACTTTAAAATATTTACAAGATTTCGAAGCAATATTGCAAAATATTATTATTCAGTTTTGAATTTTTTCCAAAAATTTTGGATGTCTAGGGTGAAAGTTCGACACGGATTCACACACCACAAGTGCAGGCGGATCTTATTTTGTAAAATTAAAAAACATTTTTGTTATAAATTTTGGAGATGACGTCATCCCATTGGTGTTGGGGAGGATTAGCCAAATTTTAGTTAGCATTTGACCATCTACATGATATTCCTAATATACATACAAAAAATGATAACAATCGGCGCAGTCACCAGACAGACAGACAGACGCACAGACAGAAACGGGAGATCACTTTTTTCCACTCTAGAGGTCATGACACGTCGAGAAAATATTAAAGAAATCAAACATTTAATTTCCCAGGTCTTGGAAACGCTTCGCTCTAAAGCAGCGACTTCGAAAATAAATGTTCAAATTTTAAGCCTTAACATTTTCGAGTCCACAACAATATTAATTTTATTGATGAAAAATTTCAGGGTCCTTTCTCTCAAAATGGATCAACGTTTAAAATTGGTTTAAATTGTTTAAATTATTTTATTAGCATAAGTTATGTAATATAACCAATATACGTACATGCAAATTCAAGTTGTACAGGTGATCCAGGTGATATTTAAAAATCGTCCATCGAGTTGGCTTTGAAAAATCGAAAGAATTTGCCGCTTCCATGTGGTTACGTGGCAATTTATCATGCAACTGGAATTACTGGTTGCCTAACTTAAAAAAGTTAGACTATATTTAAAATAGGAATGATGAAACCAGCCGTGCTCTAGTGTATATTCGGTTGCCTACTTAGACTCCGAAAATAATTATTTTGTTATAAATAACCGGCAAATAATAATCCAAGGCCTGCTCTTGTTATCGCGTTAATGCACAATCTTCTTATAACCACTTTGTACAATGAATTGAACTACACGTGCAATCAACCTATGAACACATTTTTTAAAATTTCAAATATTCCTCTTGTAATAACTTTTCAAATAAAAAAATTGTAGATTCATACTGTGGATTCATTTTCGATGTAGAGGTTAAAAATGGTTTTTAGGGCGGTCATTATTACCCTAAAACCGCACGGACTCAGGGCAACGATCCCGTTTTTGCATTTACTGTCACCACAATCGGCGCAATAATGATAAAAAATAAAGTCGGGCACTTCGCATCAGAGCGTAGCTGTCAGCCACTGTAAACATACGACTACATTAAAAATATACACATGAGCGTGCGCTTTTCAATGATCCATTTAAATATTTCTTTCCGTTGATTTTTTCTTCAAAATATTTACGCGAACAATAGTCTATTCTGGTGTGTTTATATGGAGCCGAGTTCATTTTAATGGTTTATTATGTTTGCAGATGTGGATTTCTGGTCATTTTTACTGTAATTGTGTCAAAAGGTGGCCGTCAAATTAAATAAAAGCTTCTCTCTCCTTGCCGGCTTCACGTGAATGTTTATCTGCATTATCCGATTTTCCATCACACTATCGTAATAACTTGAGTATTGCCAATCACCTAAAGCTATTCATAATATCATTGCGAATTGTGAATTAAGGGAAATGTTACATTCGTGTACCTCAGATGGGCTTACGTTGGGTAAAAACCTTCTGTAGTCCGATAAATACTTAGAACTATTCTATTAGTAGAATGTACACTTTTTGCGGATATCTTTGCCTGGGATAAAAATAAATTTTTAGCAATTTTATTTTTAGGTATAGGTATTGTGTATTCTGTAATTTGCTAAGTGTGACTAACAGGTACCCTTTACGGATTTTGTTTTGTTTTATAATAATTAATAAATTGCATTATTATTATTATAGTCGTTGAGTTGAATTATTTGAAAAACCATGGTTCGATATTTTGTAAAGCGACTGAGTCGTCCACCTTCGATTCCCTTAATCCCCGATCCCAGTCCCATTGAAGTCCCTTGGTCCCGCTCGATGGCGTTTGGGCGGCGCACGCCGCCTGGGCGTCCCCACGTATTGATTCCCGCATCCAGTGGCGGGCGACGTCGGCGTCGTCGGCGGCGCGTCAGTTGCGCTCGGTGCCGCGGCCACGACGTACACTTTGCCGATGCGGTGAGTGCGGTGCTGGCGCGAGTGGATGCCGCCTAGCGCGGGATGACGAGCGAAGCGGCGGCGTGCGAGCCGCCTCTCTCCACCACCGAGACGCCGGACCCATGCCTCGATGAGAGGAAATATTGGTGCTTCCTGCTGTCCAGCATCTTCACCTTCTTGGCGGGCCTCCTCATCGTGCTGGTGTGGCGGCTGTTTGCATTCCTGTGTTGCCGCAAGGAGGTGCAGTATGGGCCCAACGACCCCAAGCAGAAGGAGCAGAAGCAGGCTCGGCAGGGCAAGCAGGAGTTCGAGGGCACCTTCATGACGGAGGCCAAGGACTGGGCGGGAGAGCTGATCTCGGGGCAGACGACCACGGGGAGGATACTGGTAAGGCTGGTGAACGGGGGGCGGTTACGCCCACCGCCCTGTGGTGTGGCGAGTCAACGGCCACCACAGGTGCGCCAGCTGGGGGGGATTTCGGTTGGGGTTTTTGACGGGAGGCAGTCAGGGCTGCGGTGGTAGACGTGGAGGAATCGATAAGGAAATTGGCATGTGAAGCCCGTCATATGTTCCAAGTATTTTAAGGCTGCATTGTTAAAATTTTAGGGATGTTTCGGTTCTTTGTTCACGCCTTCTTTTGGGGGAGGGTAGGGGTTTAAGTATGATTAAGGAGCTGAAAAGAACGACGTGGTGACACCAGACATTGGGGCGAGAGGGATTCTCGACCCAGGAATTTCCCGAACATTCACAATTACAATGATAATTTCACTCCAGTGAAAATACATCCATTGGAAATGTCAAATTTGGCAGTTTGCAATGGATAAATAAAATATTTTTCTGAAAATGGCATCGTTTTTGATTTTTTATGGAACTTGAATGAGCCAAAACAAAAATGAAACTGTTTGTCCCGCAAATTATTTAATAAACTGATGGACAAAAGAAACAAAAATATAACAACAGATCGCCTATTCCTAATCCCAAATGCGTGTTGGAAAAACCATCACTCTAAAGGCTGGTACAAGAACGTGCCACTTGGTAAAAGTATAAAGTAAATAAGAAATATAGGTATTGAGAAACGACGAATTCAATGTAGTAGATACATAAATGGGTTAGTTAGGTAATTGAAGATGTCATCTAGATCATGCTAAACAAAATTACAGTTATTACTTTGTAACCTTGCTGCCCGACAATGTTAAACAAAATTAGAGCTATTACTACCGTAATTCCCAAAAAAAAATTGATGACTTGTCTAAATGCATAAATAAGAATTAATTGACAATAAAACACAAAAATTATTGACTTTGGTCGTTTCTAACGTTTCGATTAGCGTTGTTCAATTCAATTCCATATGTTTTTATTGACCGAATTATTTGCGGCGACATTCACTCAAGCAACCAACAAAACAAAACAAAAGAAATATGTAATACAAAATTACATTAATTGAAAATAAAAAATATATAAAGAAATAATATAAAAAAGTGTAAACAAGAGAAAATTTTATTAATTGCAGACCAAATATTAACCTAACTAATTTTTGGATTGAGAGTGCAAAATTGTGGGCAGTGAATGAGTCTGATCCGTCAGGCTTCGGAATGAAACGCTTATTCGAGTAAACTCGGATTGAGAGCCGAGCGAGCTAGGAAAGGGCGAATTTAAATTTACAATAATATGGCTTTAACAAAACATCTGTCGAGAAAAATTGTCTAGCAAAATGTGAAGCGGAAAATGACAACAGCTCAATCACATTGAATTTAAATATGTCGAATGAAATTTTCAATTTTTTGTTACATAACTCATTTATTTTAATTCCTTAAAAAATTTTGAAATGAAAAAATCATAGTATGATTAATTCAGAAGAAAATTGAATCTTACTATACCAGACGTTTGGAAAGAACTTCAAAAATACTGTAATTTTAAAATTGCCAAAATTCAGTTTTTTCAAAAACAACTTGTGTTTTATTACTTAATTTATTAAAATAACTGAAAATAGAAGAAATTATCAACTTTGGGTGTGAAAAATACTATATACAGTATAACCTCTATAATCCGAACCTACGATTATCCGAACATCCAGTAATCCGAACAGAGGCTAGTTGAAGTCTATATCTCTTTAATCCAAACTGAACTTGAAAACGTGCACCTGCTTGCAAAAATGACGCAAGATCTTCATTGCGTACGTATTTTATTGAATTTTTTTAAAGTACTAGCCCCATCCACCCACTCTTTATTTTCTCAGAATAGTGGATCATCTGCCAAAATTAGTCTTATTTTAACAAGTACTAACCCGCCCACCCACCCGTATTTTTTTAGAGGATACTAGATTTTTCAGTTTTTAGATTTTTCAATTTTCGAATTTTTCAATTTCTCGCTTTTTAAATTTTCAATTTTTTTATCCATCTTTCGATTTTTGATTTCTCTGGGCAACTGAAAAAAACCTTCAATTTTTTAATTTCACAATTTTGGCAGTTTTCTTATTTCTCAATTATTTGATTTTTAAAAATATCGAGAAAATAAATGTTTATTTTTTAAAATTTTCGATGTTTGATTTTTTGTCGCCGGATTTGCCATGTTTACCGTAATTTTAAAACATCTGAAAATTTTGTTTCTAATTTTCAATTTTTGGATTTTTCGGTTTTTCAAAATTTCGGGTCGAATAAATTTGTTCTTTTAGTTAAAAAATCGAAAAATAACAAATCGTGAAAAGGAAAAATTTTAACTTGAGAGCTTGAAAAATTAAAAATCAAAAAATTCCAATATTGTAAAGTTAGAACTTGAAAAATCAAGATTGGAATTAAAAACTGCAAAATTGTCAAACAAATTATCAAATGAAATATTCAAAAGTTGAAAAATCTAAAAACTAAAAAAAAAATGGAATTCCGAATTCGATTTTATAAGATTTGTTTTTTTTTTCAATTTTTCGTTATTTCAGTTTTTGATTTTCCGATTATACAGTTGTACAATTTTCCGATTTCTCATTTATCCGATTTTTCAATTTGTCATTTTTTTATTTTAAGCAAGTGTTGCCCCACCCACGCAGCCTTTATTTTCTTAGAAGAATAAGTCATCTGCCAAAATCAGTCTTATCTTGTCAAGTACTACCCCCCGCCCACCCTCCCTTATTTTTTTAAAAGATATGTGATTTGCCAAAATCAGTCTCATCTTGAGAAGTACTAGCCCCGCCCACCCACCCTTTATTTTCTTAAAACAGTGGGTCATCTGCCACATGAGTCTTATCTTGACAAGTACTAGCCCCACCCACCCACCCTTCATTTTCTTAGAGGATCTATCATTTGCAAAAATCAGTCTCATACTTGCCAAGATAAGATTGATTTTTGCAGATGACCTATTATTCTAAGGAAATAAAGGGTGGGTGGGCGGGAGCAGTACATTTTCAAAATCGAAAAATTGTAAAACAGATCTAAAACCAAGAACTCGAAAAATCGAAAGATTAAGAAATATTGAAAAATTAAAATATCAAAAGATTGAAAAATCTAAAATTTAAAAATACAAAAATTGAAAAATCGAAAAAGTAAAAAGGTACACACATCGAAAAATCCAGAAGTCAAAAATAGAAAAGCCGAAGAATTGAAATATTGAAAAATCCTAAAACTGAAAAATCTAAAAATCAAAAGTGAAGTCGAAAATAGAAACCTTAAAAAATTGAACAATTGAAAAGTCAAAAAATTAAAGAACTGAAAAACAGGAAAATCCAATCTTTAGATTTTTCGATTTTTCGATTTTTTTTTTATAGTTTACAATTTCAATTAATGTATTTGTCGCTTTTCCATTTTTCTGTTTTTCGATATTCGGTTCGATTCGATTTCTCGACTTTACGATTTTTGAGTTTCTCGATCTTTCGCGTTTTTGATTCTTCATTTGAATTTTTCGCTTTCTCGATTTTTGAAATATTTCAATTTTCTATACTAGTTTCTTGATTTTTCAAATTTTCAATTTTTCACCTTTCGATTTTGCAGTTTCTCGGTTTTTCTTTGAATTTTAGTGTTTTTCCGCTTTTTGATTTTTCATTTTCTCAAAATTTTGTGTTTTCCATTTTTGGATTTTTCAATATTTGGATATTCCAATGTCGCGATAAGAAAAATCGAAAAATCGAATTTGAAAAGTGATTTTTCAATTTTTAGATAATTCAATTTCCCGATTTTTCTGTGTTTCGACTTTTCGAGTTTGGCTCTTTTAATTTTTCAGTATTTCGATTTTTCGGATTTTTCAGTTCCTTGATTTTTTCGGTTCATCAATTTCTCGCTCTTTCGAAGTTTCAATTTGAAGTTTTGATTTCTCGATTTCACGTTTTTCCATATATTTCGACTCTTCAACTATTCGAAATTTCGATTTTTTTTGAGAAATCTAAAAATCAAAAAAGTGAAGTCGAAAAATAGTAACCTTAAAAAATCGAAAAATTGAAAAATCAAAAATCTAAAAAATCAAAAAATTAAAGAATTAAAGAACAGGAAAATCGAAACACTCGAAGGTCAAGAAATCGGAAAATCTAAACATCGATTAATTGAAAATTCGAAAAATTGAGAGTTTATGAAAGTGAAATTTGAAAAATTAAAAAATCGAAATTTGACAAAATGACAAATGAAAAACAGAAAATCTAAAACCGGAAAGTCGAAAAATCAAAAGATTAAGAAATCGAAACATTTGAAAAAGTCGAAATCTTGAAAAATTCAAATATCGAAGAACTGCACTGAAAAATCGAGAAATCGAAAAATCTAAAATTTTAAAAATTAAAAAACTAAAATTTAAAAATCGAAAAATTGAAAAATCGAAAAAGTAAAATAATCGACACATCAAAAAAGCCAGGAGTCAAAAATCGAAATATTGAAAAATAGAGAAATGAAAGAAAAACTGAGAATCTAATAACCTGAAAAATCCGAAAACTGAAATATCCAAAAACTGAGAACCTAACAAGTCGAAAAATTGAGCAATCGAAAAATCCAAAAGTGAAGTCGAAAAATCGAAACCTTAAAAAAACTAAAAAATGAAAAATCGAAAAATTAAAGAATTGAAGAACAGGAATATCGAAACCCTCGAAAGTCAAGAAATGGAAAAATCAAAACATCGATTAATTGAAAAATCGAAAATTTGAAAAAACGACAATTGAAAAACAGAAAATCTAAAACCGGGAAGTCGAAAAATCGAAAGATTAAAAAAACTAAAAAATGAAAAATCGAAAAATTAAAGAATTGAAGAACAGGAATATCGAAACCCTCGAAAGTCAAGAAATGGGAAACAAATCAAAACATCGATTAATTGTAAAATCGAAAAATTGAAAAATCGAAAATTTGAAAACACGACAATTGAAAAACAGAAAATCTAAAACCGGGAAGTCGAAAAATCGATAGATTAAGAAATCAAAACATTTGAAA